ATTGAGGCATATCAGAACCTAATTGAAAAATTGTGGCCAGGTGTGGCGGCTCGCATTCATAATCCCAACAGTTTGAGAGGGTGGGGCAGGTAGATTGTTTGAGCCCAGGAGTTCAAGACCAGCCTGGGCAACATAGTGAAACCTGGCCTCTAACAAAAAATACAAAAGTTAACTAAGCGTGGTGCTGCATGCTTGTAGTCCTTGGGAGGCTGAGGTATGAGGATCCCTTGAGCCTGGGAGGTGGAAGTTGCAGTGAGCTGAGATCACAACACTGCACTCCAGTCAAGGCAACAGAAAGTGAAAAAAAAATTGTATAATTTGGTTAACTGCTTAACCAAATAGGCATTCAATGACTAGAACCAGAATCAGAGGGAGGCAGACATCTTATGCACACTGTGTTTGGGAATCCAAACTTAAACTGACAGGTGAAATCATTAAAAGGTCAATTAAGAAGAGCCAAGGGCTGAACACAGTGGCTCACGCCTGTAATCCCAACACTTTGGGAGACCAAGGCAGGCGGGCGGATCATGAGGTCGGTAGATCGAGACCATCCTGGCTAACATGGTGAAGCCCCATCTCTACTAAAAATACAAAAAAATTAGCCTGGCATGGTGGCAGCGGGTGCCTGTAATCCCAGCTAGTCGGGAGGCTGAGGCAGGAGAATGGCGTGAACCCGGGAGGTGGAGCTTGTAGTGAGCCGAGATCATGCTACTGCACTCCAGCCGAGATCGTGCCACTGCACTCCAGCCTGGGCGACAGAGCAGGACTCTGTCTCAAAGAAAAAAAAAAAAAAAAAGCCAAATAAGCTTTTATGGAAAAAAAAAAGTGACCTTTTTGATATGTTATGTTCCCGAGACTTGTTAAATGCTTTTATTCCACATAGTAACTTGATTATTTACTGTTATTTATTCTAGTCAAATGCCAACTAATTTAGTACCAGATGAAATATTTTCTTGTCATAAAATCAATTAAAAATTAACTGATTTTTTTCAGATTCATTCAGATATGTTTTTTAAAATTCAGTCATTTCTTCATGCTAAATTAATTGCAAAAAATGCAGTTTCCCTTTAAAAAAAAAATTGTATTAAACTTTAGTAGATATATTTTACTTGGCCAAAAAAATAAAACTGAGTTCAATTCCATTTAAGAACCATTTACTGAACATATGTATGTGAAAAATAGAAATATAAGATAGACATAACTGACTGTAACACAAGACATAAATGACTACAAATAAGGTAAAATGAGCAAGAACTGTAAGTAGAAAGATGACCTGTGGGATTTCAGATGAGAAAGCGGCATGCTTTCAACTTGAAAGCAGAGATGCGGAAGTAGAGGATTTGCACCTAAATTGCTGGGTTCTCATTTGTTACCTGTGTCCGGGCAAGTTTCTCTCTTTAGATCTGTTTTCTTATTTATAAATGAAGGATGGTAATAATATCAACCTCATGGGAGTGTTGGAGGGATTGAGATAATACATGTTGCCATGTAGACAGAGAATTCAGAGAGGTTAATTGATGCCTAGAGTTAGTAAGTCCTAAACGTAAGTGGTGGTGAGGACAGTGAATAATGTAGCCGTTGTACCACTCACCCAGAGAAGTTACTCTGGTCTGAGAACTCAGTTCCAATAGGAGAAGCTCATACTGAGCCACAGTTCATTTAGCAAACATGTATCAAGCACCCACTAGAGCTACGAACTCTACTAGACCTGAGAGAATGATGAACAGGGAACACCCATGCCCATGTGGAGGTCATGACACTAAAGAGTAGTCAGGCTGGGTGCCTGTAATCCCAGCATTTTGGGAGGCCAAGACAGGAGGATCACTTGAGCCCAGGAGTTGAGACTTCAACTCTCGGCAACTCGAACTATGGGCATCATAGGAAGACCTTGTCTCTAAACAACAAAAACAAAAACAAAAAATTATCCAAGTGTGGTGGCTGTGATCCCAGCTAGTCAGGAAGCTGAGGTGGGAGGATCACTTGAGCCTAGGAGGTTGTGGAGGTTGTGGCTGCACAGTGAGCCATGATCATGCTACTGCACTCTAGCCTGGGCAACAGAGTTGAGACCCTGGAGAGAGAGAGAGAGAGAGAGAGAGAGAGAGAGAGAGAGAGAGAGAGAGAGAGATAAGATAGATTAGATAGAATAGATGTCAGAAAGGCCTGGGGAACAGTGTGAGGAAAGGCAGTCAGCTCTGAAGTTAAAAATAACCCAGATGTCCTTAACTGATGGAAAAATGAACAAAATGTTGTATATCCATACCGTGGACTATTCAGCTACAGAAGGAATGAACTGCTGATAAATGTTACAACATGGATGAACCTTAGAAACATGCTAAGTAAAAGAAGCCAGTCACCAAATGCCACGTATCTTATGGTTCCATACACATGAAGTGTCCAGAATTGGCAAATCTACAGAGCTAGAAAGTAGATTATGAGTGCCTTGGATGTGGAAAGGGGTTTATGGGGAGTGACTGCTAATAAGCATGGTGTTTCTTTTGGGAATGATGAAAATATTCAAAGTAAATTGCAGTGATAGTTGCACAACTCTTGATATACTAAAAAAAACATTGAATCGTGTACCTTAGATGGAGGAATTGTGTGGTCTGTGAATTACAGCTCAATAAAAGCTTTTTAAAAGACCAACAAAACACCAGCAGTTTGGGAGACCAAGGTGGGAGGGAGGATCACTTGAGCTCAGGAGTTAAGAGACCAGCCTGGGCAACAAAGGGAGACCCCATCTCTACCTACTTACTTGCCTGCCTGCCTACCTACCTACCTACCTACCTACCTACCTACCTACCTACCTACCTACATAAATAAATGAAGATTTAGCCAGGCATGGTGGTACACACCTATGGTCCCAGCTACTCAGTAGGTAAGGTAGGAGGATCACTTAAGCCCAGGAGGTTAAGGTTGTAGTGAGCCGAGGTTGTGCCACTGCACTCCCACCTGGGTGACAGAGTGAGACCCTGTCTCAAAAGGAACAAACAAAAAACCCATTAGTACTGTGTGGGCAGGCAACCCAAAGTCATCTTGACTTGGCTGTTGAGTGAACAGAAGACATGGCAAAGACAGGGTCAGGGGTCAGTTGAATGCACTCTTTGAAAGGAGCATTATCTTGTCATAAAAGGAAGCCACTGAGGGCTGAGTGGTGCATGATCACCCAGTCATACCTGTGAGAGACTGAATATACTGACACTTGTGCAAACAGGGATGATAGATTCCAGGGAGTGGTGGAAGATAGGGCGTTAGCCAACTGTTACAGGGCAATGTTGCGAGTCCAGGTAAGAGAGAAGGAACTAAGGAATAGAAGTAGAGATGCTTGAAAACCATGTAAGAAGTAAAAAGGCCTAAATGTGAGTGGCTGGTGAGGAAAGGAAAAAGGATGACTCTGAATTCTAGCGTGAGTGAAGGGGCATGTGCTAACACCAACGGAGATAGAAGAGAACAGGAACTGTTAAAAATACAGTTCTTAAGGGCCCTGGACACTGTAGCCAGAGCCATTTCAGTGAGATACAGAAGCCACATCTTGCTTGAAGAGAATTGGAACGAACAGGCAGTCTCCATGCCTGTTCCTCTTACAGTCTGTGCAGTCAACTTTTTGGCCTTGTAAAAAGGCACATCATTTGGGTCACTTAAATACTATGACCTGAGCCATCCACATTGTAACTAATTCACTTTCCTCTCTCTGGAGCATTGTTTTCTAACTCTGTAGTGAGACCTATATTTTTTTCCCAATGAAAAGCTAAATAGTGATTAGGAAAACTTAAGGAATATTGAGATTTCTCAGCCTGTTCAAGTACTAGAGCAGTGTTAGTTTTTTCCTAACTTTGTTGGAAATGGATTACTTCTTAAGAAGAAATCTTATCACATATCCCCTTGAAAACTGGTAAAAATAGAGCCTATCTATGTCCAAAGTCCTAGAAGATGGTTCTCACCACTGGGATAAATGGATGAATGTGCTCCCTGGGATAGATCCAGGTTCTGTGGAGCTGAAACTAACACAGTGTGGAAGGGAGGCCCTTTTTGAAAAAAGAATGTGAAATTGGGCTGGGTGCGGTGACTCACACCTGTAATCCCAGCGCTTTGGGAGACAGAGGCAGGCAGATCACAAGGTCAGGAGATCAAGACCATCCTGGCCAACATGGTGAAACCCTGTCTTTACTAAAAGTACAAAAAATTAGCTGGACATGGTGGCACGCACCTGTAGTCCCAGCTGCTCGGGAGGCTGAGGCAGGAGAATCATTTGAATGTGGGAGGTGGAGGTTGCAGTGAGCCCAGATTGCACCACTGTACTCCAGCCTGGCGACAGAGCAAGACAGCCTGATGACAGAGTGAGACTGTCTCAAAAATAAAAAGTGAAATTGAGACCACATATTTAGATATAAGGCCTTAGAAGATCCCTGAAGCTTAAACCTCATTAGCTTCATGGCAGAACTTCCTTTGATCTTGATAATGATGGTGGTGGAGATGATGGGGGTGACTGTTAACACATTGAGCACTCATACGTCAGGCATTGTTCCAAGCAGTTTTTATATATTAATCCTCGAAACAAACCAGGGCATAGTAGCAGAGGTACAGAGAAGTCATGCCGAAGGTCACACTGTGGGAAGCAGAGTTGTTAGGAGAGGGAAGAAGGGCAGTATGGAAAAGAACACTAAACTGAGAGCAGAGGCCTTCATGAATGTCAGCTTCGCCACCCCTCTGTGAGGAACCTGGGGGGAAAAATCACTTACCTTTGCATGGACATCCTTGACTTCACCTGTAAAAAAAGGAATATTGATGCATGTCATGACTCCTTGACTCTGTTGTTCCTAGATCGAGAGAATGTGTGAAGGTGCTTTGTGAAGGTAAAGTGCTTGGAAACGTAGTGTATTACACAGCTTTCTCTTCCACCTCAATACTGTAGCTGAGGCTTAAAAATTCATTTAATTTTGCTTACTTTTCATTTCACTTCTCATGTGTCTAATTTATTTCTTGGACATGATTTTTGTTCTCAGGTTACTTGTCTGCAAGACTTTTTTGGTGATGACGATGTTTTTATTGCATGTGGACCAGAAAAATTCCGTTATGCCCAAGATGACTTTGTCCTGGATCATAGTGGTAAGGCAATTCTTCAGCTAATTCATTTTTCCATCTTTGTAACCCCTGAAATGAAGGCTTGGGATTTAGCCACTCAGTTCATGCATGTTAAGAAGTCTGGCATGTTGAGGGGAGATAGCATTGGCAGTACTATTTTTGAACCAATGGAAATAAGGAATAACATGAAAGCATTTGCCTACTTGAAAGAAAGAAAGAAAGAAAAGGAAGGGAAAGGAAGGGGAAGGAAGAAAAAAGAAAAGAAAAGAAAGAAAGAAAGAAAAGAAAGAAAGAGAATAACCCAAAGCCTAATTCAAGTAGTTTTCACTTTTAGCAATTCAGTTCTCTCTCTTATTGCATTGTTTTGCCGCTGAAATGTTCCATGCTTTCCTTCAGAATGGTGGTTGGCTATGCCAACTTAGATGCATGGGTAGTGTTGAACATGAAACAATTGTCCATTTTTTGTGATGTGTATGCATAAGGAAATCTATATTAAAAAGAAATAGATAAAAGGATAATAACTGTTAATGGTGATTATCTGAGGTGTCTTTCAACTTCATTGGGTTTTTTTGGTAGCAACTTTTTTTTTTTTTTTAATTGAGACAGTGTCTCCTTTTGTCTCCCAGCCTGGAGTGCAGTGGTACGATCACAGTTCACTGAAGCCTTGACTGTGCTCCTGGATTCAAGTAATCCTCCTGCCTCAGCCTCCTTAGTAGCTAGGATTAAAGACATAAGCCACCGTTCCTGGCTAATTTTTAAATTTTTTGTAGAGACAGGGTCTTGCTGTGTTGCCCAGGCTGGTCTTGAACTCCTGGCTTCAAGTGATCCTTGCACTTCAGCCTCCCAAAGTGCTGGGATACACACACACACACACACACACACACACACTTTGTTTATATACAGTCATGTACCATGTAAGGATGCTTTGGTCAATGATGGACTGCATGTATGATTGTAACACCATGAGGATTTTTACCATACCTTCTCTATGTTTGGATCCACAAATCCTTACCATTGTGTTATAGTTGCCTACAGTATTTGGTACAGTTACATGCTGTACAGGTTTGTAACCTAGGAGCGATAGACTATACCATATAGTCTGGGTGAGTACTGGGCTACACCACCTAGATTTGTGTAAGTTTACTCCATGATGTTCACACAATGAATAAATTGTCTAATAATGCACTTCTCAAATGTATCCTCGTAGTTAAGTAACATATGACTATATTTAGAAACAAAGCTATTTCATGGGTGAGATGAAAAAATCTCCTTTTCCTGACTTTGGCCAATATATGGAATTTTCAAGTAGTATTTGGCAATAATAATCTCAACTATTTCATGTATTATTGGTCCTGGGAATCTTGTTTTATCCTATTGTCTTAAACTGCTTTAAACCTGTGACAGTAGTAGTGATTATTTTAGCTGATAGTAAAGTCAGCTTCCTCTTTAAATAAAGTAAAATCATACACACATCACATTTCAGAGGAGAGCGATCTTGGAGATACGGTCCTCCTCTTTAATTTTGTAAATGAGGAAAGCTGGCTTTTAAAAAGGTAGACAGTAGACCACTTCTAGTTGTAGTGTTTCTGACAGTCCGGAATTAGAGAACTATACTACCAAATAAATAGAGTGATACCTAGGCTTTTAAATTTTTGCGAGGATACATTCTGTGGTACCAAACTTCCTTGTGTCATTCCTTCTTGTTTCACTATGTCACTCATTCATGAGCTTGGGGGTCATTCAGCATCAACTTTTGTTTTTGTTTTTTCATCTCTGCCAAATTTGATGGTTTCTATATTCTGTTGGACTGGCCCTATTTCAGGCTGGTGGTACCACTGGAAAGTCCTTAATTATAGATAATGTCCTGTTACGTTATCTGTGCTAGTGCTCTCCCTCATTCCTGTGTGGTTAAGATTAAATACAATAGGCATTTGTATATCATCTGAATTTTACATCTTTCTTAAATTTAGCTTTAGTTTCATAATATTTCTTTGATGTCAGTTGTCATTTTGAAAGCTGAGCCACTGAAACTAAATATGTTCTAGGTTATAAAGTTAACACACATAACAATAATATTTGTTGAGCCACTTACTCTGTATATACAGGCATTGTACTCAGTGCTTCATGGGTATGTTATACATTGATTTAAGCTACTTGGGTCATTGGTAGTTTTTGTTGATGGTGATCAGGGCCTACAATAGTTAGAAGTTGGTGAGAGCTATTGATTTCTTCCCTCTTGATCTCGAGTTACTTAACCTTCTGCAAAGTAGGGATAATAATGGCTATTTGATAAGGTTTTGTGAGGATTAAATGCATTAATATATGTCATGCAGTTGGGAGTGTGCCTGTCACATGGTAATATGTGTCCACTGCTATCTTTGTTGTTGTTAATAATAATATTACACCAACACCATTATGTGGTAAAATTTTACAATTATTTTACAATGAGCAAGTCTCAGACCTAATTCTGCCACAGATACGTTTATTAGGAGGCAAAGATTTTTTTTTTAAATCAGTTATTTAACTTGTGTTGTAATCTTAATGAAGTCCCTACTCTGTTCTTTTAGACTTCTGATAATATCTTTTGTTAAAGGCCCATTCAGAATCCATGGAATTCAGTTTACTTGATTTTAGTGAAGTAACTAAATCCTCGATTAATAGTTAGATACAGGATTGGTTCCAATTCGTAAACCTAGGATGTAGTTCTGCAGTTCTAGGTTGTTGGCTCTTGCTGCTCATATAAAGGAGTAGCAATCCATTTAAGATGTTTCTAATAATCCACACACACCTTTCAGCAGTTGAATACTTTTAACATCCACAATGCTAATTAGGCAAAAGTTGCTCCCTTTGTGTAAGGTTTTGATTAGAGTCTTTCAAATGCTAACTAGCCTCCCCTTGGGTGTATTTTCCTGATTAGAGTACTTCACTTGTCAGTTTACTGCCCCTGGGGTATAGACTAAAATTAATCCACATTTTAAACTTCCTGCATAAATTGAAGTATTTTAGAGTAAACTACTACAGACAGTGTGTTATCTAATTTAACCCTTATAACAAGCCTATGATGCAAATTTTATTCTTATCCCAATTTCATTAGGAAAAAATAAATCAGGCTTACAGCCAAGGCCCCCTGGTTAACAAATGTCAAATCCATAGTTCATTCAAAATCTACACAACTTCAAAACCCATGTTCTTCATCATTCAAATTAGAATTGATTACTTTAGTTATAATTACTTCTGGTATTGTAAATATTATTTTATTTGGTGATGTATGGAAGGAGCAGTTATTGTTTAAAGCTATTTAGCCAGGCACGGTGGTTCACGCCTGTAATCCTGGCATTTTGGGAGGTCGAGGCGAGCGGATTACTTGAGATCAGAAGTTCGAGACTCAGCCTGGCCAACATGGTGAAACCCCGTCTCTACTAAAAATACAGAAAATTAGCCGGGCGTGGTGGTGGGCGCCTGTAGTCCCAGCTGCAGGCCAGAGGCTGAGACAGGAGAATCACTTGAACCTGGGAGGCAGAGGTTGCAGTGAGCCGATATTGCGCCACTGCACTTCAGCCTGGGTGACAGAGCGAGACTCCATCTCAAAAAAAAAAAACAAAAAACAAAAAACTATTTTCCTCATTTTTGATGTTCCATACTTTGAGAAGATGGAACATAATTCAGGAGGGGGTTCATAAGTTAAGAGTCCCATGCCCTTTTAAAATAAGGCAATCAAGAAGTTGGAGAGCATAATAAAATTATAGCCTTTGCCTATCAGTACTACCAATTTTAAAAGATAGTTGCACATGTATAGATTAGGCTGTGGATGTTTGTGTGTATCAAGTTAGGGCATTGGAATGTCTGTACTTAATTAGCTGCATCTGGAACAATGAGGCGACGTCCTAAAATGTGTAGCCTTGGCGGGGCATGGTGGCTCATGCCTGTAATCCCAGCACTTTGGGAGGCTGAGGCGGGTGTACTGCGTGAGGTCAGGAGTTTGACGCCAGCCTGGCCAACATAGTGAAACCCCTTCTCTACTAAAAATATGAAAGATTATCTGAGCATGGTGGTGGGCACCTGTAATCCCAGCTACTTGGGAGGCTGAGGCAAGAGAATCGCTTGAATCTGGGAGGCAGAGGTTGCAGTGAGCCCAGATCGCGCCATTGCACTCCAGCCTGGGCAACAGGAGCGAAACTCTGTCTCGGGGGTTGAGGGGGGAGTTGCGGGGGGAAGATGTGTAGCCTGGCTGAGGGTAAACTCAGGTGTACTTTTGGGACAACTGCTTTGTATGTTAAATTGTTTAACAGTAATAGAGAAATTATCAGGTAATAGTTCTGGTCAGTAAACAATTACATCTAAATCTCATTTTGGTCGTTATTAAAACCAGATTTAGTTAATGCACTTTTGTTCTTTTCTAGAATGCCGTGTCCTGAAGTCATCTTATTCTCGATCCTCAGCTGTTAAGTATTCTGGATCCAAAAGCCCTGGGCCCTCTCGACGCAGCAAATCACCAGCTTCAGGTAGTTAGTGGAAAAGGAATAGATGGTCATAGCAGGAACAGATCATTTTCCTTCTGTTTTCTCTAATTTTTGTGAATTAGTAATCTTTGCTGGGGTTGTATGCAGCCAAGTTCCAGAAAAACAGAGATGACATGACTTTTAAAACCAAAAGTTAAGTCTGTTTCCCCAAGTTATAATAATTCTCCTAAGAGACTTGTATAGTTTTGTTCTGACACATTTTCTTGGGAACAGCTTGATGATCTAGATTCTGCTGGTATTCACATAGAAGTGTTTCACATTTGGACCTCTGTATACTGCATTTTGAATTTTGTGCTCTATGATTGTGGATAATTATTTTCTTAACATTATCTCTTTTTTAAAAATCACATGCACACACTCTACCCAGAAATGTATTTACTTGATATATTTCCACTGGCTTCTCCCTCATCAAATGGTACATTTATAGCAGTGATTATTGTTGAAAAGTAGTATTTTACTTATTTAAGAGTCAGACTACGTGTAATAAAGTTTCTTGCAAGTCTTAAGCCTATAAATTTGTCATAATTTTTACGGGGCATTTTTAAACATTAAAAACATACATAAATATCTTCACATTGATTTTATGGGTTTGTTTGTAATAATTAAGAATAAGTCTGTTGATATCATTTCCCCTTAAGGAAGGAATTGTGAAAAAACCATGATTTTACAGGTGGTGAATCTAGAACATGTGAAAGTTGTATCAATAACAATAGCCTCGAGCATTAGACTTCATAAAAGACCAAGTTTTTCAGACATTCCACTATTCGCCCTTTCCCGTCTCAGCACCCCCCGACTTTCTGTAGGGCAGATTGTTTTACTCTTTCTGAACACACATTTAGAGCTGCTGAATAACCACTCTCCTTACTGTCTTCTGCTCTGTGTATACTGCATGTGTACAGTAAAGCGGGGTGGCCACTACTCCAGTGCCTATTCTACAGCCAAATCCCCAGGTGAGCCATGACTATTGTGGCTTTGTTGCTCTGCTGGGTTTTTGTTTTTGTTTTTTGCCACTTTTCTGTTTCCTTTTGCTCCATTTCCATGAATGTATCTGGCTTATTCCAGTGCACATCTGTGTGGTATGAAATGCTTTGCATTGCACAAGACACTTTAGCCTCCTCTATTCATTAGAGAGCTGGTTATCATCAGAAGATTACCAAGTGCCTGTCTGTATAGTCAGGAATACAGAGCGATTGAGGAGGCACATTGCTGCAAGGGGTCCATCTTCTAGTTAATTTGGAGAAATGTTCTGTTACTGAAAAAGGCTAAAGTTTGTTGGTACTATGAAAATAGCCATAGAAGAAATTTTGGTCTTCTGTGCTCACCCCCTCCCCACCCTGGGGTTAACAGTTTAGGAATCACTGAAATCTTAGAAGTACTTCATAATAGCATATGCCAGTGTAGGATTATGAAGTGTTTCTTACATATACAGAGAGGCAACACTGCAATATTTCTAGTTGTCAAATATTTATTTTCCTAGAGTTATAGACTCAGCCTTTTCTCTCTAAAAATGTGACAATTAACAATATGTGTATTTTTATCTGAAAATACCTCTGTTATTAACCTTATTTCAAATTGTATGATGCTTTCTGTAAAGTATCTTAAAACTGAGAAAGCTTAATATAGAGATGAGACTTGCATAAATACACTGACCTGGGTTAATCAAAGGGTAGATGTAGTTTTGGTGATAGCTTTACAGGTGCTTGTAACATCAGTAAAAATAATTAAATAGCTGGGCATGGAGGTACCACCTGTGGTCCCATCTTCTTGGAGGCTGAGGCAGGAGGATCCCTCGAGGCCAGGAGTTTGAGGCTGTAACGAGCTGTGATGATAGTGCCTGTGAATAGCCACTGCACTCTAGCCTTGGCAATGTAGCAAGGCCCTGTCTCTTTTAAAAAAAATTTAATGAAAGGGAGAGTGGTTCAAGAATCGGTATGATTCAATTTTGTCCCCCTAAGGTCCAAAGAGAAAAATTAGCATATTGAACTAAAAACATGTCTCATAGCCATATTTGTCCTGCACACTAGTAGCTCCAGAAGATAGCCTAATAAATAAATGTATACATAACTCTTACCTTGAATTTATAATACTTAGAAACTGATGAAGGAAAATCATAGCATTCTAGTACACACAATTTTCAATTAAGTCCAAATTTGGATTTGAGTTAATAGAGTAAGCCTCAAACTCATCAAGTAAAAGTTGTAAGATTTTAAAACCACATTTTAGAGAGAAAATGATCTTTTTTATAAGAGATTAATTCCAAGTGTGTTCGACACTTCAGCTATAGAAAACCAAAAGCCTGAGTCAATCACTGGGATTTGAGTGAATCTGAAGAAAGCTACTATATTCATCTGCATAATGCTTATCTGTATAGTGCTATATAGTTCTTTCCACTTTCTACCACCATGAAGGACAGAATTTTGTCTTATTAAAAGCCATGGTACTCAGGAGTGTTTTTACGGATTACTTTAACTATGGTGTGTCTGTTGCCATTTTTTAAATTCCATGGGACTAATGAAATTCAAACAGAGCTGGTAACTTTATGAACATAATATTGTACCTTTTCAGTCTTGGGACAGAGGTCCCAAGTGAAGTCTTGAGACTGCCTTGAGTGAAGTCTTCTGGTTGACTAAATCCTTCAACAAAACTCTATCAGAATAGCTAAATAATATGTAAAAAGCACATAGATATTAAGCTAGGTAACATAAATGGGTAAATGGTTACTGTTGTCCAGGCTGGAGTGGAGTGGTGTGATTTTGGCTCACTGCACCTCCGCCTCAGGGGTTCAAGCTATTCTCCTGCCTCAGCCTCCTGAGTAGCTGGGACTATAGGCATGCGCCACCACGCCTGGCTAATTTTTGTATTTTTAGTAGAGATAAGGTTTCACCATGTTGGCCAGGCTGGTCTCTAACTCCTGATATCAAGTGATCCACCAGCCTCAGCCTCCCAAAGTGCTGGGATTATAGATATGAGCCACTGTGCCTGGCCATTATTTTAGAATTTTAGCTTCTGAATCTTTCTTGGTCTGCCAAGATAAAAAGTATTCAAAGAAAACAAACAAACAAAAAACCCCAAGTTTATTTCTTTCCTTAGAGTTGAGGGGAGGGGGATAAAATTTCAGGAGTGAAAATCCAGGGGTGTAGCAGAAGAGCGGAAGCGTGAGGCAGGTGCTGGCTGGTGGTGGCACATCTTCTGTTTGCAGCAGCAACGGAAGTTGCAGGGGGAGAGGGCATGACGTGGTGCTGTCCAGGGTCCCCATTAGCCTCTCCAGAACTGGAGAAATGTGCAAATAAGTGAAATTAAGAACAACTCATTCAAGCACATTGTTTAGAACCTTCCAAATGCTATAAAAACTTAGAGGACTATATGTGATTAGTATCTCTCTAGGATGAGTTATTTTGGTGAAAATATAGACATGCAGTTATTGACATCAGTTAAATCCCTGGCAGTGAGTTTTGTTAAGAAACTAGGCCTGGGCAGGGGATGTATTTTAGGGAGACTGATCTACTGCAGAGATCGCTATCTGCCAGAACTGCTTTTTCTCCTTCACTCCCTTTCCTACAATCATTCCAAGGTAGCCTTTGCTATCAGTGTGGGATTGGAATACCAGTGAACACTAACAGTGCGTACTGATTAGAAGCTGGTGACCTGTGCAGATTGCTGTGTGAGAGGGAGAAAACACCAGAAAAAAAAAAAGGGAAAAAAAGGAAAATTTAGTTTCAGCTCACGGCAAGCTTACTAGTTTATTGCCGGCCATAATCTCTATTTTGTGTGAATTCCATTGAAAAAGATTTTTTTAAACACTATTTTTTTAGCGCAGTTTTAGGTTCACAGCCAAAGGTCCATATTTCCTGTGGACTTCCTTGCCTGCAGACTTATGTAACAACTTCTATTATCCACATCCCCAATTACGGTGCTGCATTTGTTACACTTGATGAGCCTGCATTGAAATCCCCTTAGCACCCAAGAGCCATAGTTTACGTTGAGGTTCATTTTTGGTGTTGTATGTTTTCTGGGTTTGGACAAGTTTGTAACGACATATATTCACCATTATAGTATCATACAGTTTCACTGCCCTAAAAACCCTTTGTGCTCTACCTTTTAAAGAAGTTTTTTAGAAGAAATAACGTTAATTGAAATTTAACTTGATTGAGAAATAACCAGGGCTGTTGAATACTCTTAAATATTTTTAATTGTACAGTTAATTGTGTTACACTTGTATTCTAAGTACCTACATGTATTTGTTAATAAAATCTAGATCACTGACCGTTATTTTTGAATGAGGGTTTTGAGTCAGAAAAATTAAAGTTTTGGAAACTTAAAAATAACTGGAAAAAGTTCTCATTTTTACTGAAATTTTAAAATGAGCAGTACAATAAATATGACTTCATAAACCAAGATGTTCCTGTTTACAGGTGATTCTTGTAATCATTAGTACTCATTGATCCACAATTTCTGCCTCTGCTCAAGGACTGGTACTCGTTTTTTTTGAGTCACCTATTCAGGACCTTTACCTGTGCATTTGTTTTTTTATACTTATAGCGTGATTTAAAATAATAGTTGTCGCTGTCTCATGTTTTTTTTTTTTTTTTTTTTTTTAAAGAATAAAAAGCAAGTGAGCATCTCTTTTCTTTCCAAAAAGATGAATGACACTTTTCATCTACTTTGGGCAAAAACTTTGAAGATTTATAATAAAACGGATTATAAATACTCTATTTAGAGGAGAAAAACATATATCAATACTAGATGTTAACTACGAGCTTTGTGAAATTACTGCAGAAATAGATTCTAATGATACAATCAGGCATAAGCAAAAGTCATACTGAAATGTTTGACCAGAATTCTGTAGCATAGAATCTGCAAACGAACCTTTCCTGGGGGAGAGGTTTCAAAATTTTCAAAACCTGAACACTTTTTTCGGTTATTTTTTAAATTTCCAAATTTAATTTTCTGGGGGAAAGGTTCATTTACAGATTCTATACTACATAATTCTAGCATAGGATCTAAATCGAGCTTTCAGCCAAAGAAGTGTATGGAGGTTTAGAGCAGATGTATAGAAAACTACCAAGATTTGTGGACAAATGGGGGAGGATAAGCTGTGTAGAAAAGAAAATGGAAGGAATTAGAAATAAGTGGTCTAGATAAAAAAGGTTGAAGAATGTTTTTCACAGACTTTGAGCAAATAAGTAGGAATTACAGGGAAAACTACCAGTAGATTTTCCCTTTTCATTAAGAAAATACTTAGAAAATGTGTTTGTATTATGGTGTAATTGATTTGGGAGAGCCACACAAACTTCTTGGTTATCCAAACTTCTTGGTTATGTTGGTATGCACCAAGATAGTGGATATTGAACAGCCTTCATAGTAAACCATTACAAATATAACAGCCATCTCTACCTTTGCTGGCAGGCAGGATACATGGAAAAGTTCTCGTTCACATCACTAATTCCATAATGTCTTCTGTATTTGTTTATATAGCTGTTGGAAAACTACTATTGAAAATAGTTCTAGTTTCACTCTTTGATTTTTTTTTTTTTTTGTCTGTAATGCAGTAAGATACATTCTTTTTGCTTTTTGCTGATTTGCCGTCTGCTTTGAGCTGAAAATGAGTTGAAGCTTCATTGGACCTATATTGTGCATGCACCTAGTGTATTTATACAGTCTGGTTATTGTGGGTTTTAATGGGACTTCTGTCTTCTTTGTTGTCTCATGGGCAGTTAATGGAACTCCCAGCAGCCAACTTTCTACTCCTAAATCTACGAAATCCTCCAGTTCCTCTCCAACTAGTCCAGGAAGTTTCAGAGGATTAAAGGTATGAAATAGGATATGTGGCATATTTGTGTGATTTTGTTATTTTGAGTTTCATAGTTTAGCAGTTTAATTTGTTTAGGGGCTTGGGTACAGTAACAAATTAAAAAGAGTTTAGGATTTGGAACCTGGTAGACTTGACTTCGAATCCTGTGTACTGCTGTAATTTTGGCCAACTCGCTTAACTCCTCTGAGCTGAAGTGTTTCTCATCTCTAAAATGGGAACATGGGGTTATAGTGTTCTTATTTTAGAGATGAACATAATGTGGTAAAGTATAATAAATAGTAGTTTTCCAATTATTATCAAAATGATTTGCAGCGGTAAAGCCTTGGAGAACATCATGATTCTTTAAAAAAATCTTCTTTTGAGTCATGACTTTAATATTGCTAACGTAATTTGAGTTTGTCAAAAGCCTAAAATGAAGTGAAATACTAGCATAATGTTTATACTCACAAGTGATAACACAAGGAAAATATGGTCATCTTTAGTGAGGAACTTAGAAACAATCTTAGCTATTGACTATGATGTCCTAAAAATATAAGCAGTAACAATATGATTAGCAGTTGGTTTAATAGACAGTTATCTAGTAGAGATAAGCAAAACCAATTGTGCAAAATTTCAACAAGTTTTATTTGATTTAGTAGTTCCTAATAATTTAAATTTAGAAGAGAAAATTTGCCTGGTAAAATAACAGTAAATAATTAGAGCTGAAGGTGGAATTTCTAGCCAGACGTGATGGCTCACGCCTGTAATCCCAGCACTTTGGGAGGCTGAGGCAGGTGGATCACTTGAGGACAGGAGTTCAAGATCAGCCTGGCCAACATGGTGAAACCCCCGACTCTACTAAAAATACAAAAATTAGCCAGGCTTGGTGGTACAAACCTGTAATCCCGCTACTCGGCAGGCTGAGGTGGGAGAATCACTTGGATCCAGGAGGCGGAGGTTGCAGTGAGCTGAGATTGCGCCACTGCACTCCAGCCTGGGTGACAAAGTGAGACTCTGTCTCAAAAAAAAAAAAAAAAAAAAAAGGAATTTCCTTTGTAGAAACAAAGGGTTCTCTACGTGGTAATGAATTCTGAGAATACTGATGTATATGCAGTGTCATGTATGTGTATACATAAATTAACTTTAATTCCCTTTATGTGTTTCTATATGAGATGTATTATTAGGAATGTGTTTTCCAAAGTTGGTTCCCGAAACACTTCAAATATAGTCCTAGAGGATTTCTTTAAAGATGTTGAAGAGTATTTTTTTATTAGTAAACTTAATGGTTAGAACCCCACCACCCTTGTGTGAGTGAGGAATGGGAACCTGCCAAGCCCAGCCTTTCTGACACCTTCAGAGCAGCGTGTGAGGTCTGTGCTTCCCCACTTCTCAGAAGGTTTTGTTCTCCAGTTGACTGTAAGGTTTGCTTGTCTTGCCCTGAGAATGTTGTGTGTCCCTCAGAGTGGACTTGTATAATGTTTAAGTACCTGAGAATAAAAAGAGGAATTCTGGAAAAGGACAGAGTATCTGTTTTTGTGCCTGCTTGCTTATCCTTGGCAGAATTTGGGCTGAGACTGGTAGGACATTTGGAAGTAGGGAGTATCTAGCTCTCACCTACCTGTAGTCACTGAAAGTTCTTTATATTTATCAAAAGAAGAAGGCATTTTTCTGAAGTGCTGACTTAAGTCAGTTCATAATGTGATTTCAGTGGACTTTTAAATTGTCAATTCCCAGAAAAGTTATATAAATTAAAAATTACTAGTAAGCTAATTATTTTCAGATTTTTCTCCTATTTTCCCTGGAACAGATTGGAAGTATGTTGTTATTAATAGAGGTAACTTATTAATTAATTTTCAAGAGAACTAAAATAAAAATAAGTCGATTTAGCTCTTTTCAGGTTTGTTGTTTCATCATTTGTTAAAGCAAAAGCGAGTGGCTCCTAGAGCTGGTTAATTGTTCTAGGGCAGATCTAGGATAACCTTTCCAGTGAGCCACATGCCAAGGTCATTCATATTTCTCTCCCAGGCCATTGCCCCAGGCAGGGCTGAGATCCTTGACATAGGGCCGCTTTGGGGGATCAGATGGGACACTTTAGTGCCTGCTTACTCTGGGTCTTGGTCACTTCCCCATTTTTTGTTACCCATTGGTAACCCCAGCTCCCATCTTCCTAGTCCATCTTCAACTCTAAACCCAATATTGTCATTTTCTGTTTTTGCCACTAGGCTAGTTGGTGCTGCTTATTAATAATTACAACTATAGCTTCAGGACAGGACAGCTAACCATTTCAAGGAAATACGTGTTAATATTCTGTGCACATACCTACTTCACAGATGCACGCATACTTGTGCAGGATCACTCACATTTGTGAAGATTAATGGAATTTTTAAGACATAATAAATTGTGTTATTGCTGAGACATTAAGTAAAATTGTTCCTTCTATGCTAGGTGTATCGTAATTATTATAGTAACCCCAGCATTTAGCACACAGTAAATGCTCAAGGATTACTTATTCACACCAAGAGGAATGAAGACTAATTTGTTCATTAAGGGAAATGTTGATTACTGGTCAAGATTGAAGATAAGATTATAAGTAAGATAAAGAACAGTCATCTTTCCAGAACCACCCCCAGTTCTCCACCACTGTGCCTGAGGCCTGTGGGCTTTGCTAACAGCTGTGATACCTCCTCTGGGTTTTCTTTTTCTTATTTGTAAAACAAGGACTTTTGATTTTAAATGAGCTCTAAAATGCTAGGAATATAGTTCTGTTAACTTGCGGAAAAACCTAACTGAAAGGCTAGGAAGTGTATTTTTTGCCCTTTTCCTTCAATGCTGATGTAAAACCACCAAATTTTACATTAAACAGGAGTAACTAATGTCTCTGCCACACTGATTCAGCTTGTAGGCCACAATCCCAAAGCTCTCTAACTACTGCCTATTCTCATGGGTCCTGCCTTATGGAAATTTCATCTCATTACAGTTCCCATAATCTGTAGTATATATTGTCATTGGGATGAAAACCTGCTTTTTAAATAATGCAATTTAGTCAGGTTACTTTACTGTACCAAATACCCTAATTTTGATGTCATTGCAAGGCACCAACTTATTTTTTTCTATTCAATGGCATGACAGATGAGGAATTACAGATAATTACCGTGTGTTAGCACTATGCGTTTCCCTTCCCTTCATTTAAAATCGCTTATTAAGATCAGTTAAGAGGGAATGTCTGAGAATGGAGGATTGTTTTTCATGGGCAGGAACTCGTTACCACTATTTATCCTAGTTAGATGCTTTAATGGCCTTGGGGGATAGATAATCTTTTTCCAGAGAATCAGAGAATTGATAAAAGCAAGCAAACCGAGCCAGGACAGCATGTGCAGGAGCTGACAGTCTCTCTAGCTGCCAGGACACAGCTTTTGGCATTGCTGGTTTTTTTACTATCTGGATTTTATTCACTGGGGAACTAAATAAGATTAAGGGTAAGCAGAATTTGATGTTCTGTCACAGTGTTTCCCTCTTTGTATCCATGTCTGGGAATTATTTTAATATTTTGGTGGGGGCATTGAAAGAACTGAAAATGAAAATAGGATGATATGTTTAATCTCTGATCATGGATTGTTAGTGGCCCTTTGGTTTGCTCATTAAGAAAGATATAAAAAATAGACAATCTACCCTGCTCTCCACAAAAAGTACTCGTAGTTTTCTTAGTACTCTTATGAGGAAGATGATTCTGCTAAGACTGTGTTCTTTGAGGGGCTGGGCAAAAGCCAGTAGCAGAAGCAAAGCTTTCTTCAACTTGTGAATAATTTTTTTTGCAGATGATCATGTAAGAAATAGGGTGATGACCAAGTAATTAAGGTTCTTTAAACCTAAAACTGAAAGACGTTAGGACAACTGAGAGTTAGTGGTATCTTGATTATATATTTGTTTTGTTCAAGTAGTGTTAAAGAAAAAGCACTAATTATTCCAGATACTTGTTAAAGACTAAAAGGGAGACTTTATTCAAAGAGTGGGGGTGGTCCCTGGCAGTTGGTATAGAGACCACTGTAGTAGAGCCTTGCAGGGAGGAAAAGAGGAAATCCAGCTCCAACAAGGAAAAGTGGGGATTTATAACGAAGGAGCAGGGTAGGAATCAGCAGATGGAAGAGTATTAGAGGAACCATCCAGCCTAAGAGGCTTCCGGCTCAACTGACTTGATAGGCTTATTGCTGAAGGCAGGCTGGGCTGATCTGACATCAGAGTCAGACACCAAGTACAGGGGATTTTCCTTAAACTGACTTAACAGGAATCTTGCTCACACCTCAGCCTGTTCTGCAGGGACAGGGAGGGAAACCCAAGGTTGGGCCTAGTGAAGCAGAGGACTTGGAGGAACCTGACTAAAGTTTTGGTCATAAAAGAGTTTTTGTCAGTAGTTACCTAAAACCATAGAGTGTAAAAACTGGAAGTAGTTTCAAACCTTGTTTAGTCTTCAAGATAGAGAAACTGACTTTTGTGTGTGTGTGTGTGTTTTTTGTTTGTTTGTTTGTTTTTTGAGATGAAGTCTTGCTGTGTCGCCCAGGCTGGAGTGCAGTGGTGCGATCTTGGCTCACTGCAGCCTCTGCCTTCCGGGTTCAAGTGATTCTCTTGTCTCAGCCTCCTGAGTAACACATTTGCTCCACATGAGAAAGGGTTGAGAGATTGGGAGGGGAATGGGGGGGAGGTGTGGGAAAAAGAGGGAGGAAATCCTGGGGCTAGGGAGGAGGCTGGGTGAATGGGGTGGAAAGACAGAGAAAAATACCTGGTGGCAACTTTTCCTGAGAGGCCTGGGGGAAAAGCATGCTAATAGGTATCTAATGGGAGCTCCTTGAAAGTGAAACTGTCTACACTGTGCCCATTATTTCCACCTAACCCCATAAAGCTTTAGTAAAATCACAGAGTTCACAATAACTTAGGGTTTTTGGTTTTCTTTGGAAGACAGTACTCAGTGGAGCTGAGTATTGTCAAGATTGGTATAGATTGGAATTAGCATAGTCCAGGTTCAG